ATTTTTGAAAATAGTTAGAGTTCGGATGCATCTTAAAAAATGACGGTTCAAAAAGTCTTCAAATCAGCGGTAAAACTATGATTTTGCTGCGTGGTATTTGTCCCTTGAGCAATTGAAGCATGAGATTTGTCTATGTAAAATGTCAGCCTTTTTGCAGTTTGTAATAAATCACTTTCAGGGAAAAATTAGGCGCCAGTAATTTGCACCAATTGCAGACCGCCGTATTTGTTCTTGCGCTTTTAGAAGAACCCAATATGGCGTCACGATGGTGTCACTAAACTAACACCTTGTACACCAACTTCAGTGAATTTCTTTCGAACGCTTTGGGAGAAAAACTTATCAATTGAAACTGCTTAGAGTTGAGACTTGAGAAGGTCGTTTATTCGCATATGCAATGAGTCGACCACATTAGGAAGCTTCCCGCATTCAGAGGTCTGATTTTAGTTATCGATAACGTGAGCATAAAACTACCAATATAATATTATGCGGGAACTTTTCCGGACTGATCGTATGTTAATATAAAGAAATAGTCGGCTAAAAGAGGATACATGTGCGAATTATTCTCTATGGCGTGCAGTCGAACATTTGCTTTTTCTCTCGTAGAAAAAACATTACTTTGGTGCAGTCGAATTATTGGTCTTTTTTTATATCAACAAGCTTTATATGTATCGATCATTATCAGTCTTGACAGGCTCTGACCGATTCTTACAAAAGTGTCAGTTCTAATTAGGGGACAGTCGAATACAGACGGCTAATTAAAAAGTACGTTCTAACTTAAAACAAACAAACAAAGAAGACAAAGATGAAAAAAAAAACCCTTTAGAAAATTATAACAAAACAAAAACAAAAACACTAAATCTTCTACTGAATACGACAAGAAACGAATTCATAATGTTGTCGAATATGGTTGCCCTGCATCAAGACCCTGGTCTCCTGTACGTTTTAAACAACTGCATAAGAAATTCTCGTTTGTACGTAGTGCAAAGGTTTTAATGGCTTTAAATATACGTCTCTTTTATAGTTTGTCAAGACAGCTCGAACGGCACTAGTTCACAGTCCTCCTCCTTTAAAATCAGTGGAGATAGTGTTAGTGCAGTTACAACACAAATTACTCCAGCCAATTCAACAGCAACAGTGACCACGGGGTCACACTCGGCCAACTCAGCCAGCATGAAGGCTACCCAGTCACAAGAAACATCAGCAACTGTCTCCACAGTATCAGCCAAACACAGACCAGCTAGTACCTCTGGCTCCGTTGTTACATCTACTAAAGTGAATTCCAACGAGTCACTAATTGGGTTATCCACTGCAGTGAGTCCATCAGCAACTGTCTCAGTGACATCTATTAACACCGCAGCTGATGCTTCTGGCTCTGTTATGATATCTAGTAATGGGAACTTCTCACAGTTACATGCAGTGTCCTCCACATCAATGAGTCTATCAGCAACTGTCTCAGTGACAGCTATGGACACCGCAGCTGATGCTTCTGGCTCTGTTATGATATCTAGTAATGGGAACTTCTCACAGTTACATGCAGTGTCCTCCACATCAATGAGTCTATCACCAACTGTCGCGGCAACAACTTCAAACGTCTCCACCAAAGCTTTCCCCTCATCATTACCGTCTGCAGAGAAAGGCAACGCCTCTGTTGTGGGATCCAACACTACAGATTCGTCTTCGTCACAACTTGTGTCGGCCACGTCAATGGTTCCTTCCTCTAGCGCAGTCTTCGTAGGAAAGACAAGTGTTTCATCCTCCGTGGCTGCTAAAGTTACATCAAATGAGAAGCCTTCAGTGTCCATGCCATCGGCATCAGGTAAGTGTATTTTGTTTATGAAGCTTGCCTGAACACGAGGCCTATGGCCCTATAACTCCTGAGATCTCGGATTGTTAATTCTCTTCTTTAGCTGCTACACATTTCTTTGTAAGTTTGTTTAGATAATTTAGTGTTTGGCCAAGATAGTGGCCTCTATATACCTGGTAAGTTTGAGTCTTCTCACTTCTTGTTTACTGAGTTATGTACAGATATTATACGAAGAAGTAAGAGGTTAATTATTCTGGAGTTAAAGGGTCAAATGATATGAAATCGATTTCTCAGTTCATTTACTCACCACTTCTTGGAGACAGTGACGGATACTTCATATCCAGCGGGGAAGTTGAACTTGTGCAAACTTACGACAAAGTAGAAAATAATAAAAATCGAGGCTATCAAGGTCAAAAATCTGCCATAAACAGACGGGTGATCGCATCGCATACAAATCCTGTAAGTATTCTATTTGAAATGCGTGGTAAGATCCCTTTTTGCAGGTAACTGTCCTAACTGACTGAATAGCGAAGAAAAATCAAATTAACAGCTACAGGACTTTAATGAATATCGCAGCCTTGCGTTTGCATCTTAATTCAACTGTTATTATGTATCTCTGTCCCTATTCCTTTGCTAATCAATATTCTCGAAATCAACAGGGGTATTGTCATTTCATTCATCCTGTTAGTTTTTCAAATGAGCTATATGTTATTGTATTCAAAACGCCTTTCAAACCTTGTTTTCCTTTTTCAGACCTACGGTGCTTATGATGCTCTGGGAGACTAAGAGTTGGAAATCTTCTGATCATGGCGCATGCGTTTGAGCATTTCATTAAACAGCTTTAGTCAAACTCTAGTAGAAATAGAGCGGAACATAGACCATTACTCTTGGTTTGTGGTAGTTACTTTTCCAAAGAATTTGAAGGTGTTTGCTATGGCGCTGTAGATAGTTTGTCTTCATGCAGTACCTCGATGGTACAGTGACTCGAAGGGTTGCTTGCTACATTAGAACGTGGATGGGGTTCAGATCCGCGTGTAACATGACATAGCATAAATTGCATTTTGTAGGATTGAAATTTATGACGAAGAGAACATAGAGATTGATAAAAATGAACAGTTTTTCTATATTGCTAGAGTAAAAATAAATTTTTTCGCTGACAAGGGCATTTATTAATAAAACCGTACCATTGCATTTCACAAGCTTTTAGCTTCGTTATTTGGTGGTTAATATTACATACGCATGCTCACTTGCCAAAGATTGTAAGAGGAACCTTAGGTTCCTTGGTTGTTTTCGCTCCATGGAATTCTTGTCAGAGAGTGGGAGAGAGTTCAACAATTCAAATTCTCGACTTATACCCGGAATCCTTACGCAGGTTTTAATTATTTCAACGCATCGCCTCATTCCGAGCGTCCTGATTTCTGTTCCCCATTCACCCTTCCTTAACCGGTTCGACGCCTTCAAAGACTCTTCGAATAGGTGAACTGATAATAAACCGACAAACAGAGAAATAAATAAAACTATTAAATCGATAAGCCAATGTTTGAATAAAATGACTCTATAAGTAAATAAATAAACGAAGAAACAAATAAACACATGTTAATTCAGATAAAAGATCTTGGATTATAAGTTTCTCGAGAAAACAGCTAAGAATTCATCAAGGAACACCTTACTTTTTTAGTCTGGATGCAAAGAAAACAATTGAACGGTTATATTAAGGAATACATAAAACACAGAGATATTTAGAAATTTGAATCGTCTCGTTTTATCGATTTCCTCCCTACCCCCATACCCATGGGAGTTTAAGAGTGACCGGTTATTTTTAGAAATTATATAATGAGCATGATATATTATATTTCGTTTTTTTCTTCCTTGTACGTAATTCATTCTCTTCCTTCAGTTATTTTTTTAGCTGTGAGAGGATGATCCAAAGCCCTTTTTAGAAATTTTCGATGGTCTTCGATGCAAATAAAGACATTATTATTAATAACATTTGAACAGCCAATGAAAGCAATGGACAGCTTTCAAAATATTTGGAATCTTGTCTTCTTTAGGAGAAAACTAAATCTATCAGGAATTATAAAATTGAATCGATCCGACCGAGTTTCGCTTGTAATCAAACTTTGAACATATGGAGTAAAACATCATGCAGTCACTTGAGGGGCATGGCTTTTTTCTGAAGAACGTCAATATGCATGAGCCCGCCCAATTGTCTTTGAATTGTTTATATAGGCAAATGCCTTTTGCGTCAACGTAAAATCTATTGCTTAAACAGCAAACGCGCTTGTTTCCGCTGGTTAATGCGGAATTCCCTTCGACTGCTAACTTTCTGCTTCATACAACTTGTCACGGAAATGGTGGGCTCTGTTACCGAAGTGGCTGTTTCATTATTACCGTTAGCAGCCCCGGTGAGTTGCAGAGTACTTCAAAAGGATTTAGGTTGGGTGTTAGATCCTCAACAATGTCGGAATCCTTTCTAAAGTAATATCTAAGTGAATTAATGGAATTAAAGCACTGTATCATTTTGACAACTCTAGTTTTGC